TACACATGCGCTGAGAATTACGGCCATTCCGGCTGTTACCAAAATAAATTACATGCAGCCTGTTGACTTGCGTTTATAGCTTCCGCAATGTTTTAATATTGGTCGATAGATATATAAGTACGAAAAGGTACTGAAAAGTTCTCAGACTGACCAGAAAGTGATTTCAATTTAAAGCTATTTAGTTATATGGTCCAATTTTGGGAAGTATGTCGGAAGGAGAACTTTTCAGCTCATTTGGCAAAACTGTAACCCATTTTAAAGGTTTATATATATATATATATATATATATATATATATATATATATAATAAAGGTTAATAGTCAGAGTTGAACTAGACCAGGAAAGAGTAATATTTAAAAAGTACTCAATACACATATAAAAAGATAAAAAAATGAACATATAGAGTTTTTTAAGTATAGAAAATTAGGAAATCAGCCGATTTCGCTGCTTTGGTCTCAACTTTTTGGTATCTTCAAGCGATTTCAGTCAATTGATTTCCTAAAACTTTATTTTTTTTAAAATAGAAAATTATAAACGCTTTATTTTTCAAAAGAATAAATAAATGAATAAAGGCCAATAGGAATAAATAAATGAATAATGGCAAATGGGAAAATATATATATATATAATAAAAAGAAAGAACAGTTAGATTTATAATCCAGAGTTCTTTAGCATTTATTTTTAAAAAAAAACATCAGAACTTCTCCTACTAGACATACACAATTAAGAATACACATTATCATCCGATTCCCGCATAGATAAATTATAATTTTCACAAACTTACATTCGCATAGAATTGTCTACGTTTAATAATGCCCGTGATGTATCGCGGGCATTATAAACGTAGATAAAATGAAAATCAAACCACACAAAGTTGAAAATACCAGAATTTCTGTCTTTTTGACTTTTTTTTTCTCAATCTCTGACTAAACTTTAATAAAAGTGAAATATTTTAGATTGATAAACGTTTCCTATTTTTTCTTTATCTTATGATTCTGTCGGATGCCGATTCAAATTTGATCTACATTTCATCTTTAACTTGAAATTATTCTCTGACTCGTGAAAATTAAGTAATAAAGATCTGTCGAATTAATAAATAAAAAAATCGATCTCTTTCGTTACGATATATATATATATATATATATATTATAAATTAATTGATTTAAAATATGGTTTTTTTTCGCTACACAGTTCTAACCATGTTCAAAAATGGAAGCTAAAAGCCACGAATTTAATTTTGTGATTAAATTAAAGACATTAGTTCCATTTCATCCTCAAGCGAATTTTGGAGTAACTTATTAAAATTACTGGGTTTTTAAATACACAGCTAAAACAAAATTCATGTTTCCAAGCTTACAGATAAATCTATTTTCTAGACAGGGTGGCTGGGTTTTCAATATGTCTATAATTTAATGTATCAGTTATTGCTACGTTTGGGTCGTGGGAAGGGATGCATTTTTCAATGAAATCTAACTTCCGTTAAAGCCTGTCGTCTAGATTTTTTTTAAATTATATTGTTAACGGCTAAAATTCTTACATTTTACCTCTATTAAATGAAATATAGTCTATAAAAACTAATAATGAAAATATTTTAAAGTTGTAATTAAAACTGTAGTTAATTAAAATGAATTCTAACTTAATCTTCTTTTAAATTGTAATTAAATAAATAAATAAAGTCTACTAAATCGGAGTAATGAAAAATTTTACTTTAGTAATATTTAAATTTAAAATTTTTAAAAAATATACTTTAAATATACGAAAAAAAAATGCCTTAGCCATTTCAACAGTAAAATGATGAGACCTAACTGTCAATCTAGTACCGCGCTTAAATTCATAAAGTCTAGGTACCAAAGAGACACGTTCATCAAAACAATCACCATGAAAATAAGTCACAGGGAAACTAGATTACGGCGGTGGGTAAGTTACTAGAGCTGAGATGTCAGGTCAGAACCAATAACATTGCAGATTCTTCTTTGTATTTTATAAAGAATCTCTAAATATATAGCAGGAGCACCAGACCAAATGTGGCAGCAATATTCAAATCAAATATAAATGGAAAGGTACTGAAGCCGAGATGCCAAGTCAGGACCAATAACATTGCAGATTCTTCTTTGTATTTTATCTAGAATCTCTTAGATACATAGCAGAAGCACCGAACCAGATGTGGTGACAATATTCAATAGTAGACTTATAAATGTGTAAGATAGATTCTTGCGAGAAAAATTGTCGAGCACGACACGGGGAACGAACTTACTTAGCAGCAGAACTTAAAGTCATAAAGTCTAAGCATCAAAAAGGAATGTTCATCAGAGCAATTGTCATGAAAATATTTGTAGAAAAGGCAGAGGGAAGCTACGTTACGGCGGTGATGGAGGCTGACTGAAGCCGAGATGCCAGGTCAGGACCAATATTTTTTGCCTGGTTATACCTTTGTCCACAAGTCCTAAAACATTGCAAATTTGATCAGCTATGATTAAAACATTCACCGATTTCTTTATATGCAGAACTAACAATTGATTCAATATAATCTTTCCAATCAGCCAAATGTAATAATAATGATATTCTTCTTCTTCTTCTTCTTCTTCTTCTTCTTCTTCTTCTTCTTCTTCTATGTGCCGTGTTCCTCCAGGATGTGGGCGATCATGGCTCTCCACAATCTCCTATCCCTTGTAGATCATAGCAGATTTTTTTATCGTTTGCCAAGCTTCCTGACTTCCGTCTTGCTATCTATTCACACAAGCACGTCAGATAATTGGCCAACCGACTTCCCCTATATCTCTTTCCCTCGATATGCCCTGTGGAGGTTAAATTCCCCAAGCCGTCCTTCCTTGTTATGTGTCCCAGAAATGTCTCTTTCGGATTCGGAGATTATCGTAATCGCGCGCATATTTTTATTTTCTGAAATTAATTTGTGATGGAAAACGGTACGGAATGAGAAATCGTAGAACCGAGTTCGAATTCCAGTCGAGTTAGCTATTTACAATGATGTTCTTATAATGATGTTCACCCTTTACAAGACCCAAGTGCCGCTTGAGGTAGAGGTTTAGAGAGTAAGATGCACCACCCCAAGCAATGAGATAGAGCCACCAAGAGGTCACCGAAAGTGAAAGAGAAGGCAAAGGCTTTAGAAGCAACCGGAAACCCAATTCTAAACAGGAAACCTCTACTCCTGTTCAAAAGACCGAGGAGGAGTGTGAACCGGACCATAGGCGAACCTGTCTAATGCTATTGAAGAGAGAAAAATAAATAGCAAATAAAATTTCAGGGTTTAGGCAGACACGTTAAAACTATAGTTCCAAACAAGAAACAAGGGACAAACCTCTACTCCTGTTCAAAAGACTGGGAAGGCATCAGAACCGGGCGATAGACAAACCTATCTACTCCTATCTAGGAGAAAAAATAAAATAAATAAATAGTAAATAAAATTAAAAAATAAATAAAATTTCAGAGTTTAAGCAGAGACGTTAGACTTATAGAGTTGAAGTAGACTTTCGAAAGAACCGGAAACCCAATCCTAAACAGGAAACAAGGGATAAACCTCTACTCTTGTTCAAAATAGCGAGGAGAAGTGTGAACCGGACGATAAGCGAAAATATCGTCTCCGACTGAGGAGAAACATAAAAACAAACAAAATTAATAAATAATTAGTAAATAAAATTTCAATGTTCAGATAGAGACATTAGAAGTATAGAATTGAAGTAGACTTTAGAAGGAACCAGAAACCCAATCCTAATCAGGAAACAAGAGATAAACCTCTACTCCTGTTCAAAAGATCGAGGAGGAGTGTGAACCGGGCCATAGGCGAACCTGTCTAATGCTATTGAAGAGAGAAAAATAAATAGCAAATAAAATCTCAGGGTTTTGGCAGACACGTTAGAAGTATAAAGTTAAAAGAGACTTTAGAAAAACCGAGAAAGACAATTCTAAACAAGAAACAAGGGATAAACCTCTACTCCTGTTCAAAAGACCGAGGAGCGTGAGCTGGACTATAGGCGAACCTGTCTACCGCTATAAGGGGAGAAAAGTAAATAGCAAATAAAATTTCACAGTTTAGACAGAGGCGTTAGAAGTATAAAGTTAAAGAGACTCTAGAAGGAACCGGAAATTCAATTCTAAACAAGAAACAAAGGATAAACCTTTACTCCTGTTCAAAAGGGGAGGATTTTGAACAGGAGCAGGGCGATAGGTGAACTTATGTATTCTTTTGGAAAAAAAAATGAATCCAATTCTTCTTCCCCCAGCTATGGGTTAAATAGTAGGACAGACTGGATCCTATAGTCTTGGTTGGCAATCAGCAGAAAGTAACTGCAGTTACTCGGGGATTCTTCTGTTAAGTGAATAGAAAGGAAACATGATCGCCCAAGCTTTTGATATGAAATAATTAGAATATTGGAAGAGCTTAAAAGAAAGGAAGGACGTTTCTTATAGCACAAGACTGCAATAGCGAGGTATGCAACTAAGTGTACGAGTCGAGCTTGCTAACTATTTCTTTCCGGTGGTCGTCCAATGAAATTTATTTTATTTTTATTCATTATAATGGGAGTAAATGAAATTGTTGTTATTGTTGTCGTGTGCAAGCGTTGCTCCTATCGTCTGCCGATTGTATTTGCTATTTCAATTTTTTTTCATTATTACTTCCCTTTCTCCTTTATTTCTTCTTCCTTTTGCACCTTTCATTCCCTTTGTGTGTGCACCTAGACTGTAATCCCCTCTCCAATTCGTTCTATTTTATCATTATTTTACTAGGATTTCTTGTCCCATTTGTGCCGTTACTCTCTCTCTCTCTCTCTCTCTCTCTCTCTCTCTCTCTCTCTCTCTATCTATCTATCTATCTCTCTCTCTCGCACACACACACACACACACACACACACACACACGCACAAACCGTCCAAAATATTAAACAAAGAAGAAAGAGCCAGTGTTCCCAACCATGGCTTCTAATTGTTAATTGCCTCCGGGACTGACGATTTTCAGCCAATTACTAGGGACAAAACTCCCCACGGACAGCAAAGAAACGGGCGACTGCCGCCAGTGTGGCTTTTTTTCCATCTTCCGCTGACGTCCGAGTCGACGGCGACGGCGTCAACCATTTCAACATTTTGACAAGGACATCTGTGCAATGGAACCCCGAGTTTAGTGGCCTTCTTTCCAGCTTTCCTTTTCTCTTTAATTTAATAATTGAAATAGCAATTTTGAATGGAATACGTTTTGTCGGCTGCTGTTCTGTTGAGTCGTGCTTACGGTCATGTCAAAGAATGAGGCAAACTAGGGATTGTGGTTTAACAAGCGACTATGGACAAATGAACTTTTATTTATCATCTCTCCCAGCGTATATGACGCAGGAGCTTATAACGCCTACCTTACAATTTCACTAATCTCCTTCCGTCCTGGGTATGACGATAAACTACATCCTCGTCCTGGGTAACACGATAAATTACATCCGCGTCCTGAGTAAGACGATAAACTACATCCGCGTGCTGGGTAAGACGATAAACTACGTCCAACAGCAAGACCTCTAATCAGGAGGTTTTGAGGAACGTGGAACCACCACTTAATTGCTGGTTTTCCCAAATCCACCCTGAAACGGGGTGGTAGCACCTGTTAGGGTCCCAGCTATGGGTAAATAGTTACCCGCCAAACTGGAGTCAAAACATTATGAAAGCGTAAAAATAGGTTTTAATACCAGATATACTTTATAAAAATTATTACTAGCAATAAATTTTTGAAATAACTATTACCAGCAATACATATATATATATATATATATATATATATATATATATATATATATATAATTATTTAAAAAATATGATTCTAACACGCTACATAAGAGTTCTCTTATTAGAACTCTTATGTAGCGTTGAATCATATTTTTAAATAAATAATTATATTTATGCTCTACTTTTGTATCGAGCACTATTTTTTTAAAATAATAACAAAAATACTAAAGAACTTTGGATTATTTACCTAACAAGTTCTTTCCTATTTTCTATATATTTTTCACACACACACACAATATATATATATATATATATATTACCAGCAATATATTTTTGAAAAAAAATATTACCATCTATACACTTTTTGATAAAATATTACCAGCAATACATTTTTGGAAACAAAAATATTACCAGAAATAAAAATCGGCATTAAATAACCCATTAAGGTGGATATGCAATAAAACAAAACAATACAAAGAATCACCAATCTCCATAACGTTATGTATTAATTGTTTGACAACTTTGTAACGTGGGTCCTGCTGTATCAAACAACTTCTATTCCGCAATATTCTAACCAAAATGCTCCAGTAACGATTCCCTGATTTCAGTTGATGTTTCGGCTTCTTCTCCGTATCCAGACATCATCATCATCATCATCATCATCATCATTTCAAGATGTAGGTGACCATTACTCTACATAACTTTCTGTCTCTTGTAAGGCGAAACAACGTTTCACTCCCTACCAACCCTCCTTGTTCCTGCACTGCAACCATTTACACAAATAAGGTGCTCGTTTTTCCGCATCTACCCGTCGATGTGTTTGCGAATATTAAATTCTCCAAGACTTCCTTCCTCAACTGTCTCTTTTTGATTTTAAGTGTCTTAAGAATCAAACATTAAGTGTGAATGTTTTGAGAATAAAAAATATCAAGAATAAATAAATTTCTGTAGGGAAAAATAAATGTCAAGAAAAAAATATAATTTTTTAAAGAAGAATAAAAATGTCAAGAAAAATAAATTCTGATAAAAACAAATAAATTTCGACAGAGAATGATAAACCAAGGTCAAACATAAATACATTTTTATATTAACTAATAAAAAAAATGTCAAAAGTAAATAAGTTTCGACAGAGAATGATAAAACAACGTCAAAAATAAATACATTTTTATAATAACTAATAAAAAATGTCAAAAATAAATAAGTTTCGACAGAGAATGATAAAACAAGCTCAAAAATAAATACATTTTTATAATAACTAATAAAAAATGTCAAAAATAAATAAGTTTCGACAGAGAATGATATAACAAGCTCAAAAATAAATACATTTTTATAAAAATAAAAAATGTTTAAAATAAATAAATTTCGATAAAGAATGATAAAAAAAAAATTTGAAAAATAATTCTGATAAAGAATAATAAAAAATGTCAAAAATGACAAAAATGCTAAAAATAAAAACATTTTTAAGGATAGGAATAAAAAAAATGTCAACAAAAATAAATTCTGACAAAGAATATTAAAAAGAAATGTCAAAAAATAAATTTGCACAATAATTCCGATGTCATGAATAAATAAAATTCGATATTGAAAAATAAAATGATATCAAATTGAAATAGGAGGATTCACTTGGAGTGATCTCACACGAGCAATTTCTTTCTTTGTGTGTCTTCTTACTCTGGCTGTAAATCAGTGAGCAATACGTGGTTGTTGTTAATGAACGTAGCGAAAGTAATGGTTGTCCAGGATATCGCCCAAGAAATTTCTTTAATATGGGTTTTCTTATTCTGGCTGTGGTTGGGAGAATGACTCAAGACAACTATCAATGGATCTTTGTGGAGTTTGCATGCTTTTATTCTAGCAGTTGAGGATGAAATGATGCGGGTAGTGAAGAAGACTAAACGTTTTTCAAGAAATTTCTCTTTTCATCTCGATGTTCTGGGCTAAAGGGGTCTGAGGTAAAAACCCTATGATTAGTACTGATTTTATTTTTTGACTAGAATGGGAATAGAAATTAATTAAATCATTTTTGTTTGTGAGTTTGCGGTAGACCATAAAATCTAATTATGGTTTCGTATTAATAGGATATCGAGAAAAGGTAGAGATGTGTCTATTTCATAATTATATGTTTTTTACGTCAGAGCCATTAGAATATGTAGCTTGGGTAGTTTACAGTAAGAGCGATGTCAGAAAACGTTCTGTTGACATACTGTGTTTTTTTGCAGGTACGTTTGTTAAACTTTGCCAATGAGACAAACTTAAATGATTACTAATCATTTTCAACGAAGATGACTGCCAGATGATATAAAAGCGATTAATTATAGAATAATATTTGCAAATGCAAAGAGAGAAAGTTAACTGATTTTTACAAATGTCTTCCAGAAAAACGATATTCGAATTTTTTTGCCTGACAATTAATTTCAGTCTCAAAAAAATGTCTACACATTTTGAAGCTTTCTCAAAAAATAGTTCGAGCAACTAGAACCAACTAATTTCATCTAATTTAAATAATGAATATGCAGACAATTATTTATTATAAATGCAGGCTCTTAAGATTTTGTCAACGTATGTTTTCAAATTGGAAGAAGCTATTTTGCCGGCCCCAGTAAAACAAACATGCTTTTAAGTTTATTTTATCATTCTTGGTAAAATAGATTCCAAGTTATTTTGCTGGCAAATATTCTTATTATCATGAAGTCAGGTAATATTAAAAATAACAACACACAGATTTAAGATAGAAGTTTATTTGTTTCCACTGTCAATTGTTAAAACAACATAAAAACTTTTCCCCCATCAATTGTTAAAACACAAGTTAAAATTATTTATTCATCATTAATTATTAAAAGAAATATAGAAGTCTCTTAATATTTGAAGCAATTCAGGCATAACAGTTTCTGCAAATCTCAAACTTTCCCTTAGGCATGGTTCTCTTGCTAATTCACTTCAGGTGCACACACGGAAGACAAGAGTCACAGACCAAAGAATCCATGTTGTTCAAGTCCTGCCTACACAACTCACACAACAACTGTGCTGATGATCTCAAATATAATATTGATTCTTAGTTCTAAAATACTATTTATATTTACCGGCAAAATAACGTCACCGGCAAAATAGCGTTGGTGCCTATTTTACCGGCATCGGCAAAATAGCTTTGGTGTCTATTTTACTGGCACCGGCAAAATAGCCTTGGTGTCTATTTTACCGTCACCGGCAAAATAGCCTTGGTGTCTATTTTACCGGCACCGGCAAAATAGCCTATAGCGTTTCAAATTGATGTCCGCTATGAAGAAGACATTGCTGAGAATTCGACGCAATAGAACCACAAAAAGTAATCGACATCTTGATAGGTTTCTTAGACTTCGGTGAAAACTTTCCATCACCTTTTCACAGGGCGTGGTTGATATCCGTGGCCTTCCGAAACAGTCCTTGTGCACAGTGTTTCCCAAGCTTTTTTTTTTCCTTGTGGCCCATTTTTGGTATCAAAATAATTTCAGTCCCACTTAAAGAACAAATAGAAACTGCATGTAAAGGGAAATACATTTCATTTAGAAAATCAAAATATAGTAGAAAATATTAATCCTAACTAATGACTACACTTATTCCCGGTGTCTATCTATCAAGCTTGTCAACTTCCAAGGCTTAGTTGCGATTCAGGCGTAGATTACCTCTGTCTTCAATTTGAACCTGAAGGCCCATTTTAAAAAAATTCATAGGCCACTTGTGGGCATAAGATCAAACGTTAAGATTACAATAAAATCAGCTTCAAACTTTATCTCTAATTCATGAGATTGTAAACTGCGTGGGTAGATCTGAATGAAACACTCTTCGATAACGCCTTTTGAACTTCAACTACATTTTTGTATTTACAGTAACATTTCAGGATGAACTTTCTTTGTTCAAATCTAAGCCTTGGAGAGGAGATGAGCGCCGCCAAGCTATCCGAAGCCTACTGAAGGAATCATGAAGAAGAAGAATCAAAGCAATACGATGCTGGATCAGTCGAAGCCCGCATCAACAACGGTTGCATGTCCCATTGACTCAGACCAAGATGGGCGTGATAATTGGGCGACAAACACCAAGCTGCCGGCGTAGGGTACAACCAGCAGAACGAAAAACGTTCGCACCCTCGATGCTTTTAGAGAAAGATTGGATGGACATGACAACGTGTATTTGAATTAAACTCTCTTCGAGACAACATTTAAAATTCAACTGCATTTTTCTACTTCCAGTAGCATTTCAGGATTAGCTTTCTTTGCTCAAAAGTAAGCCTAGATGACATTAGTAACATTAAAAAGTGTGAATCTGAAAAGAAATTAGCTGCCTTGAGCTATACAATGTAAAAATCTGTTTAAATGTTTGAGGCGTCCTGTATGTATGTAAAAGGGCACTTCGACAATT